GGGATACAGGTGGACCCATTGCAACAATGAGATGTACAAGTCCTTATGTCGAAAACAAACTTTACAACTTTGGCTGGGGGGGGGATGGGAAGAGATGGGAAGGGGAAACAAAGGAGGCAGCAATAATGCTTAATAAGAAATGTACTCAAAGGAGGCGGCAACAATGCTTGACAAGAAATGTACTCATTATCTTGCCTATGTAATTGTAACCCCTCTGTACGGTATTTTCACAATAAAAAATAAAAAAAACAAAAATCTATCTTTTGGATAATTGAAACTTACATGTATTTGAAATTTATCATACTGTGAGGGGGGGGGAAGAACAAAGGTTAAGTTAGACTTGGTACTGTTTTCTCACACCTGTAACCCTTGCTACTCGTGCGCTGGAACCAGGGACTGCAGTGCAATGCTAGCTCAGGCAAAAAGTCCAGATACCATCACACCCAGTAAGTTGTCTTGCTAGTTATCCCAACCAGAGGGAAGCAAAAATAGGAAAATAACCGGGAAAACTTGGGCAAATAACCAGAGCAAAAAAATGATGGATGCATGGTTCAAGCAGTGGAACACTTGTCTGGCAAGCATGAAGTCCAAGTTCAAAACCTCAATTCCACCTCTCCCCACCCCCCAAAAAAGAATGGAGGTTATTTTAGTATGCTTTGTTATACTTCAGTAAAGAATTGAGGTCTTGACTTTTAGGAATGGAAGGCAAAATTTAAAAACAAAACAACAAAATGAGATGTGTATTATGTAATCAAGTGAAGCAATCAGAGGTTCCATTTAGATGGTGGAACCTAAAGGGATCCTTGAGCTGATTTTAGATCCCACTATGTAAGTCAATTTGTTTTGTTTACAGTACTGAGGTTAGAATTCAAAGCCTTTCAGGTTCCCTACTAGTTGAAATACACCTGTGCCTTCAGCCCTTTTACTTTACTTTTCAGATAGGATCTTTTAACTTTGGCCTGTACTGTCTCTGACCACAATCTTACCTATGGCTTCTGTGTAGCTAGGAAATGTGTTCCACCCATGCTCAGCTTACTGATTGAGATGTGGTCTTACCTTTTGCCCAGGCTGGCCTTGTAATTAATCTTCTCTTAATCTCTTTTTATGCAACTGGGATTATAGGCATGATCCACTATGTCTAGTCTGAGGTCTTTTTTGGGGGGAGGGGGAAGGGCATAACTGGAATTTCAACTCAGGGCCTCCTGCTTGCTGGGCTAGTGGTTATCACTGAGTCACACCTTCAGCCTTATTGTTCAGTGGTTATTTTTAGGATAGGATCTTGCTTCCTCTGCTTTGGAACAAAAGAACCAATCATAAGAAGAAATGAGTAGGAATCAAGGGCAGAATTTAGCTTAAAAGTAAGGATTTGGTGGACGTTACAAGTGACGGGAGCCCAAGAAAGAAATGGAGGCTTTAAACTTGAAGCCTGAGCAGTTGTTTGAAGTACGGCATTCTATAATTGAATTTTCAGATATATATCTCAATAAAATTTCATAGAAAATTAGAGCATGCAGAGTTCAATGGAATAAATTTCTAAATTTCTTTATCCATAATATATAGCAGCTAGGATTAGTTAACCCTAAAGTTCCTTCAGCTTGAATTGTATACAATTAAAATTCTGGTATTTTAAGTTCCATACTTAATATATTTCTTGATAATCATGAAGTACAAATACAGGACGGAAATTTATATAAATAATTCAGTAACAGCAGAAAAGGTCAAAAGCTATGTACATATGACCATATAAAATGTTAAGTGAAATGGACCCCAAGATAGGGACTTTGTTACAGTTGTTTTTAATGTACTATGTGATTTTTTTGTTTCTTTTTTATGTTCTTCCCCCATGGTATAACTCCTGTTGTCACTATATTTGATTCCAGTGCCCTGCATCTTGTATATACATTTTTTTTCTAATTTGGGGAGGGGAAGGGAAATAGCAAAATGCTGAAATAAGGATACAGGTTGACCCATTATAACAATATGACATTATAACAAGACACTATGTTGGAAAATGAGCTTTACAAGTTGGAGGAGTTGGGGAGGTGAAAGGGAAGGGATAGTAGGGAAAAACAAAGAAGGGAGTAACTGCTTGATAGGAAATGGACTCATTACCTTACTCATGTAACTGTAACCCCTCTGTACAGTATCTTTACAATAAAAAATAAAAAAAATTAGCAACCATCTTCTTAAAATATTGAAGTGAAAAATACAAGTTATGATAACCATGTCTGATTTATTTTAGAAAAAAATTAAAATTTGAGACGCCTTACCCAAAGCAAACAATCCAAAAATATCCTTTGTTCTTACTGTTTGGGTCCTGAATAACCTTTCCATGAAGCTACATATTAAGTAGAATTTAAAATCAAGTTGTGATTAAAATCCATTAGATGCCGGTGGGTGGCTCACATCTATAATCCTGGCTAAAGAGGCTGAGATCTGATTATCAAGGTTTGAAGCCAGCTCAGGAATACAAATCCATGGAGAAAACTATCTACTGGTTGCTTCTGATATTCCAGCAACAAGCTGGAACTGGTAGTGGCTCAAGTGGTAGAGCACCAGCCTTGAACTTTCAAAAAACAAAATGGAAGTGTGAGGTGAGGTCCTGATTTCAAACCCAAGTACTGGTATAAAAGTAAGGGGAAAATGTCATGTTTTTTTTTTGGTCTGGTCACGGGCCTGAACTCTGGGCCTGGGCACTGTCCCTCAGCTCTTTACCTCAAGGCTAGCACTCTTACCAGTTGAGCACCAGCGCCACTTCCGGCTTTTTTTTTTTCTGCATATGTGGTGCTGAGGAATGGAACCCAGGGCCTTATGCATGCAAGGCAAGGGCTCTACCACTGAGACACCTTCCCAGCCCTATTTTTTAAGTAAGCATTTGTTGCAAACCAAAACACTGAGATTCCATCTCACTGCAGTCAGAATGAATGGTTGTCAAAAATACTAACAATAAATGCTAGTCAGGATGTGGGAAAGACAGGATTCTAATACATTGTTGGTGGGAATGTAAACTAGTACAGTCACTATGGCAATCAGTATGGAGTCTTCCAAAAACTAGAAATACAACTACTTTATGATCCAGAAATAACATTCATGGGCATTAATCCCAAGATATCATGAAACAGGATACAATACACCCATGTTCATTGTAGCACTATTCACAATATCCAAGTTATAGAAAGGGCCAGATGCTCTACAATGGATAAATGGATTAAGAAACTATTAAATATGGGATATATATGGAATCAAATTTTATTTAGCCATCAGGAAGAATAGAATTTTGCTATTTGCAGGGACATGGATAGACCAGAAAAATATCAGACTAAGTACACTAGACCCAGATTGACCAATGATACATGTTTTTCTCATATATGGATTGCAGACTCAAAACACAACCCCCAGGTGAACATATACACAGGGACATAAGCATATATACCTGATTAAGCAGACCAAATTACAGTATATGGTGTAAACCTTCTGAGCAATTTTCAGAGTTAAAAGTAATGAGTATCAGAAAGGTGAACTGTTTTGAATGGGGGAATAGTGGGAAGAGCAGCTGAATGGAAAATGGAAAAATGGATGAATAGTCATAATACTCAATGTACATACTTGAAAAAGACAGTGGGAAACTTCTTGATATGACCAGTTGGGGAACCAGTAGAGGGAGGATGATGGAAGAGGTGATTCTGATCAAGATGCTCATGTTGAATTGTAATCCCTGGTACAACCATTTGTAGATTAAAAATAGGCATTTTATTAAACAAAGAAAAAAATCCATTGAACAAAGTCACTGGTAGTTGTTTTTATCCTGAGATTTCTTACTGCAAAAGACTCACTAGTGAAAGATGAATCTTAGCTTACAATACTATGAAAACAAGCAGAGCTGAGCACCATCAGCCTATGCCTTAGTTGCTTGGAAGGTTGAGAATGTGAGGATCAGGTTCTAGGCCAGCCCAAGCAGAAAAATACACCGAACTCCCATCTCCACAAAAGTTGGGTGTGGTGATGCAACAGTCATGCTAGGACAACAGAAAGGCTTCCTGCCTGAGCAGGAAGATACACCTCATCTTAAAAATAAGCAAAGTAGGGCTGGGAAGGTGGCTCAGTGGTAGTTTAGTTTCCATGAGGCCCTGGGTTCAATTCCTCAGCACCACATAAGCAGAAAAAAGCCGGAGGTTTTTTTTTTTTTTTAAGTCATTCATGGGGCTTGAACTCGGCCTGGGCGCTGTCCCTCAACTTTTCAGCTTAAGACAAGTGTTCTACTACTTGAGTCACAGTGCCACTTCCAAGCTGGACCTTTTTGAGTTGTGGCTCAAGTGGTAGAGCGCTAACCTTGAGCTGAAGAGCTGAGGGACAGCGCCCAGGCCCAGAGTTCAGGATCCATGACCAACATTAAAAAAAAAAAAAAAAAAAAATTAAAGCTAGCCAGGCATGGTGGCTCATGCCTGTAATCCTAGCTACTCAGGAGGCTGAGATCTGAGGATCACAGTTCAAAGTCAGCCTAGGCAGGAAAGCCTGTCAGACTCTTATCTCCAATAAACCACTAGAAAACTGGAAGTGGCACTGTGAGCTCAAAGCCCTGAGGTCAAACCTCCATACTAAAAAAACAAAGAAAAGACGACAAAAACTAAATTAACAAGAGGCACTTTTGAGACATTATGTAGCTGGTAGCTGAGAGTTAGTTTTAACTGAAAATAGAATTATATTTGCCTGTCTCAAGGGCTAAAGAATAAATTTTTTGTGTGTCTAAGAATAAAATTCATATGCTTTTATACATAGTGATGTACTATTTCTATCTATTCTCTTTTCCTGCCCACATATTAATTCAAAGAAAGATTCAAGTTGGTACCAAAATGTTTAACAGATAATCAAGACAAATTCCCCAAAGTCTACAGTAAATTTATAGTTCTCAACTGCGTTTGTTAAAAGCTTGAAAATTACTATATTTCTGCTAAAAACCTTTAAGAACTATATTCTTAAAATACTGCAGTGAAAAACACAAGTTATAACCACATGTATGATTTATTTTTGGGAAAAATAATTAAAACTAAGGTTTTTGCAATAATGTAGAGAATTAACAATAAGACATCATATGCTGATTACATGTTAATTCCATTCTTCAGAATGTGGGTATATTTAACATGTATTCACTGACATGAATGATTAACACTTGAGATTTTAAAATCTCAAGTCACTTGCAAATGCTGTAAATCCTTAAATGTTGAAATAAATACCTAAAAATAAGTGTATTTGAAACATAGAAGTCTGACTGTGTTTATATAGCTCAATTCATTGCACACAAACAGTACTGCTAACATAATGACATTACTGCTAGTTTCCACTTAATTTCTTCATAATATGGCTGTCTGGTGTTGCATTAGTGAAGATACTTCCTACAACCACGTGAGTTCCCCAGAGGCTATGACGGATCACTTTACAGCAGCCAAGATCATCAACAGAGAATCCTAAATGTCGGTAGCGTTCATCAGTTTCAAAAAGAGTATTGTTTGTATATGGTCCAAAAAACTAGACAAAAATAAATAAATATTTATATTAGAAAGCATAGTAATAATGTTCATAAAGTACAACATATATATTTTTAGTATTCCAGATATTTACCAAATTAAATAAATAAAAGATTGCATGCAATTATTAATCTGTCCTAACTTCACTTCTTCAATACCTGTATACTCTGGGTATGTATAGTAAATTACCTAGCAAGTTTCCTTTTTATCTAAAAGTAAATCCAAAACATTACACAGCCTGTAAAAGCAAGTAATTTTAAATAATCATCGATTTTGATTCAAATCTATCATTTATCATTCAAATTTATCATTTTCAAAACATAAACAACTAAAGCCCAGAGCAAAAGCTTTCTATTCCTAGTCTACCCATATTGTAGTTGACTTTGCGAAATAGCAGTGTATATTTTAATCTTAAAATCTGAAATATGAGCCAAGAGTTGGTGGTTCATATAATCTTAGTTCATATAATCTTAGTTACTCAAGAGAAAGATCCATAGGATCATGATTTTAAGCCTTTCAAGGCAGAAATATCTATTGAGATTTTGTCTCTAAAATAACCAGGAAAAAGCACAGCTAGCGTCATGGCTTAAGTGGTAGAATGCCAGGTAAGTAGGTACGCTAAGTAAACACTACTATCAGAAAAAAGAAGATTTAAGTTTTTACTATATTACTACTTATAATTGAAAGACACTAAGGATATAATTATGTTATTTTCCTCCAAGCATGTTATATTAAATGTTAACTTATAAATGTTAATTTCTACAGTTATTTCTCTAAACTAATTTTTATTATTCAGTTTCACTCTTGAAAATTAATCACTTTCTTAAAGAAACTAGAGTAGAACACATTAATTTCTAATTTTCATGATTCGAAGCCAGTCAAGGAAGAAGTGTCCAAGAATTATAAATAGTAAACATACTAATTCAATGAAGTCAAAACTGTATCTTATCAGGTAAAAATTATATCCATTATTTTTAGTAGAAAAGGTAAGTGTTAGAAAAAAGGCATTGCAACAGATGTCCTTCAGAAATTGTGAAAGCAACTGACTCAGTATTCCTTGGGATAAAATTATGAGATTTATTTCTTAAAAGTCCTAAGCTTTCATGAATGAATAAATAAATCATTTCAATTTTCTTACAATCTGACTTTCAAAATGCATTTAAATACTCACTGCCAAACCAGATGATGGATCAATAAAGTCAGCCCAATAGCCTTCAGCTCGAAGAGCATAGCAAATTTCTTTAGCACCATTAATGAACTGCATTTAAAAAAGATATAAATAATATTCAAAAGAGTATCATTATAAACTATTTTGTTTTTAAGTTATCTTTTGCTTTAGACAGTAAGATTCATATAAAATAAATTATAAGCTACCTTGTAAAGTCATAAAATTTTTACCATTTCAAAAAAATAAGTTAATATAATGGTTTAATTTTTAAGTCCAAATTCTGTACTTTTCTCCTACTTTATGAAATATGAAATCTCTCCTGTATTAACTCTTAAACTTGTCATAAGTGATAAAGTATAGCTGCTATGTTGTATCATTATGAATATTAGGTAACAAAGGAAAAACAATATAATGAAGAGATCTGAACCAATGATTACTTTAAAAGAAAGTTGCTTAAAGTAGAGGTGGGAGAGAAGGGATGGTAGGGGGAAAACAAAGGAGGAGGCAAAAATGCTCAATAGGAAATGTACTCATTACCTTGCTCATGTAACTGTAACCCCTCTGTACAGCATTTTTACAATAAAAAATGTACAAAAAAAAAAAGCAAAAAAACCCTGTGTACGCTCATCCAAGTACTAACCAGGCCTGATCCTGCTTAGCTTCTGAGATCAAATGAGATCTGGCATGTTCAGGGGGGGATATGGCCGTCACAATGCTTGACAAAAAATGTACTCATTGCCTTACTCATGCAACAGTAACTCCTCTGTAGAGCATCTTTACAATAAAATACAATAAAAAAAACAAACTGTGTCCTTATTTGTGTGTCCTTCAAAACACACAGCCAATGGCACATCTATAATTCACTAAACTGGGAATGGAGCTCAGCAGCATGGTACTAGTCTAACTATGGTCCTGGGTTAGCTACCACCAGCATAGGAGAAAATAACTGAACCCGATACACAGGGTAGCAAGGTAGAGGGGTATTATCTTAATTTCTATGAGGTTTGCATTAGCTTTTTCAGCAGTGTAGGTTGTGTAAAAACTGTAACAATATTAAGTCTAGGTTGCAATGCTGGAAAAAAATGATCACATAAATGTTTAAAAACAAGGGCACAGTTCCACTTAAGTAACAAGTACTGAACTTACTATTTAAAACAACAAAATCATCCTAGTGAAAATATAGAACTGATTAAAAAATTTAAGGCAATAATTTTAGGCCCTGAAAAATAGACAAGAACAGTTTTTGAGAAGCGAGGGAACACATGAATTAATATCCACATTTGCTCTAGCTTTTTCTCTTGGTACATTTTCTTGTCAAAGTAAGGACAAAGAAGTAAACCCAAGCATAGTGTGTGAGGAATACCAAAGCATTTGGAATTTCTGAGAGAATACTGGAAGAAAGGGAGATGCAGAAAGGTTAAAAATCCTACATAAAGCATTCGCTTTAATTCCTTAGTAAATGGTTACAAGGAAGAAGCAAGATGCTGAGAGGCTTAGCCCAGCAGGCAAAGGTGTTAGAACTGAAGGGGAATATGAAGTATTGGAAAAACAGATTTCTGGCTCATTCTTCAGCTGAGACATCTGAAGTTCAGTATTTAGGAATGCATATATTCTAATTAATGTATATTATCTTTCTATGTATGTACACTATATTTTAGAAATTATAGAATTAACATATAAACATATGTAATATTAATAGAATCTATATTGTACATAATATATTGTATATAACATATATTTACGCTCATTCTATTTTTATCTTCTTTAGTGGGTTTTTTTTTCTTTTTCTGGTATCAGAGTTTGAACTCAGGGCACTGTATACTTGCTCAGCTGGCCGCTTGCTTGTGCAGCAAGTGCTATATACCACTTGAGTCATTTCTCCAGACTGGCATTTTGTTTCCTACTTTTGCAGATGGAGTTTTATCAACTTTGCCTACACTGGCTTTGAACCATGATCCTCCATATCTCATACTTCTAAATAGCTAGGATAGCTCTTCAGCCCTTTTCTATCTAAACAGCAAAGGACTTTTGGTTGGATCATGGAATACTCATTCTATTTTAGATTAGGTTAGATTTTTAAACTGTTTTATCTGAAGTTATCTCCCTATCTTATACCCCACTTTAACATATTGCAATCATACTTACTATATATAGAAATAGGAAGTCTAAGTTATGAGTACATTTCTAACTAAGAGCTGGGTGTTAGTCACAGGATACCAACTGACTGCACCATAAGGTAAGCTCAAAGCTGTAACCATAGATCTTACTATTTCTATATATAAATACTACCTTCTCTGTGTACATGGCAGGGTGGAACTCTATAAACTTATTAAAGCTCTGCAGGTTAACTCATTCCTAAAGCATTCTTTGCTCAAAAAAAATTGTTAAATTTGTCTGAAGTTTTTCTTTTTACAAAACTAAATTTATTGTAGTTGTTGCAAATTAAACACTGTCCCTCTTAAGAGATTTTTGCTGTGGATATGAGTACTTAATGATAACTTATTTTCTCCCAATACCGACTTTAAACATGAAGAGATTAAACATTAAACTAAAACTATTCTCTAGGTTAATGCCCATATTTACTAACTCACTTATTGCTATACTTTATTAATCCAAGTATTAATACTTTATTAATCCAAGTATAGTAACAAATAATACATATCAACTAAGAACATATGTACCATACCTAAAAATTACAAGGCCAAGTGCAGAAAACTCATTTACAAAGCTGAATTAAAAGAATCCCAAGTTACTCAGGAACCAGTTTCTCCTTTAAATTTCTGTTCAACAACATCAATACTGACATCTGCTGGAAAAAGTTATTTTAAGTTTAAACCCTAATACTTAAAATAGGTGCTTGGAAAAGAATTTAGTAGTGCTTCCAAAATAATCATCAACACACTTCAATGGAAATATTTTTTCTTTCATAGAACCTGTTAACTCTGTCATTTTTTAATCTCAAGATAAAACATGATGTCATTTCAGAGCCCTACAATTTGCTACAGAAAACTGTGAACCATACTAGAGTCAGAATCAAACCATCAAAAATTAGTACTACGCAATGCAGATTTGAGAGCTTTACAGCAGTTCAATACCAGTGGTGAAAAGTATATATTTACCAAACATTATTTTTATTATAAGTAAAACTGTTTGTTATTAAATTGCAATTGCACCTTCTGATCTCACTTAAAATGAGGAAAAATGTAATATGCCTCAATAAATTCCTTGCAAAAGAGTATATGACTAACATGCTTATGAATGTTAAATACATGAAATTTCTTAGAAAGCCCTGTGAAGCTCTTAAGTGCCAAATCATTCTCATAGAATACTGAATAGGTAAATTAAAAAATATTATTATAAACAGAACCTTTAAACCAAAGAAAATACATAATAAAAATACATGATAATAGAATAAAATACATAATAATTCCTAATATTCTACAAGGAAATCATTAAAGGAGAATTTCAACTCAGGTTATTCGCTAAGGTGCCTGCCCATGTAAGTTATTAATAATCTGTCACATAAGCAGAGGAATATTACTTTCTATTTTATAAAGAAATTAATATAATCTAGTTTCAATTCTAAAGAGAAATAATTACATGATTTTAAATCACTAGGCTTTAAATTATCATTAAACATTCTCCAGATTGATAAAGAGAATGCTAAAATTTAGGGTAAACTAGGGTAACAGCATATAACTTAGGATAATCTTTATGGTAGGCAAATGATACTTTCAATAATTCTCTGAATAAAATCATATGTAACAATGATATTCATTGCTGTGTTGCAGGTAATAGCAAAGGGTTGATCTTCAACCTATAACTCACAAAGTAAATTTTAAAATAAATTGTATGGAAAGGTGTCAAAATGAATGTTTATGTTAAAAACAAAGGACAAAATTATTCTTTTCTTCTAGCAATAGATGGTAATGGGGAACAAACTAGGGCATTATGCCTGTACTACCACTTGAACCACATCATGTACCCAGGGTATTTTGCTTGTTTATTTTTCAAGTAGAGTTTGGCCTGGTGCTTATTAGCCTTGAATCATCTGTCTCCTGTGTAGCTGAGATTACAGGTGTGTGCCACTATGTCCAGCCTCAGGACTATATATTACTACTATACTGTTTACTGTTACAACTTGTTTTTTTTTTTTTTATTGTGAAAATACCATACAGAGGGGTTACAATTACATGGGCAAGGTAATGAGTACATTTCTTATCAAGCATTGTAGCCTCCTCCTTTGTTTCCCCTTCCCATCTCCCCCCCCCCCCACCAAAGTTGTAAAGTTCGTTTTTGACATAACGACTTGTACATCTCATTGTTGCAATGGGTCCACCTGTATCCCTATTTAAATGATTTGTTTTTTCCCTTCCCCTCCACAAATTATAACAACATCAAATACAGTGAAAGCAGGGGCTATACTGTGGGGGAGGGACATACAAAGCAAAAAAGAAATAATCTTATGTGTTAGAAACAATCGCATGAAAGAAAAAAAATTTGAATACATATCTTAGGGTTCATTTCCCTAACATCAACTTATCTGACCTTTTCTGCTTGTCTCAGACATATACTAGTAATTTCAAATAAGGGAAACCATGGGACCTATGTTTCTTTGGGCCTGGCCAACTTATTTCTTAGAGTTGGTTGGGCTAATGTTTGAAAGATTCCTAATATGCTGTAAAGTTGCAAAGAGATAAAAGGTCAAGAGAAGAAGGAATGAGGGAAAGAAAGAAAAGAAAAAGAGAAAAAGGAGGTGAGGGAAGGAAGGCATGATACAGTTTAGAAAAATCCAGGAAATTAATGAACAGAATCTAAGTTCTTCAAGGATACTGAAAACAAACAAATGTAGCATATTAAACTGTCAACTCAGAAAAGATGTAAGTTGTATAGTACTGAAATACTTCACAGAATTAAGGCTGGAAAGACATTCATCACTTTTTTTATTTATTTGCCAGTCTTGGGGCTTAAGCTCAGGGCCTGTGCACTGTCCCGGAGCTTCTTTTGCTCAAGGCTAGCACTCTACCACTTGAGCTGCAGCACCACTTCTGGCTTTTTCTGTATATGTGGTATAGAGGAATCAAACCCAGGGTTTCATACATGTTAGGCAAGTACTCTACCACTAAGTCACCTTCCCAGCCCAACATTCATCATTTTAATAGTTTAATAGTATGTAAATAGAATCATAAAACTAAGTAAGCAAATTGGAAGAATAACCTTTTCTAGCAGCATTTCTCTTTCAACTTCTACCTCTTCACTCCAAACAGTCATATCATTCTTAGTTTTCTGAGTTACAGTTAGAATCATTAGTTTGCTATTGGCCACTTCCGGAAACAGTGATTCAAAATCTGAAAATAAGAATAAAAATCTCAAAAAGAAAATAATTTGATTTTTAGAAAGATACAAAATTCATGAAAATAGGTTCTTCAGAAAAAAATTATGATTAAGTTAAACTACTGCAGTACTAGGTTATTTTTATAAATTCACTTTGTATTTGAAAGGAGTGAAACAAACTTAGTTTTGTTCACTTCTAGTTCTGGATGAACTGAAATAATACTGCTATCAATTCTGAAGAGTATGGCAGTATTATTGCTGTTAATATAATTTAGAAATAAATTTGTTCTGATTTTTCTTTGTACTATATTTATGAGCTCATGGTACTATAAATATAGGATTAGAAATTATGCAAGTTTTAGGGAAAAGGTCATTAGGGTTCTACTATTCTTATTTAATTTGAACATGAGGTCAAAGATTGGATACATGTGAAAGCTTTTATCTTTGAAATATAATCATTAATGGCCAAAGCATTAAACTAAGTATTAATGTACAGAACATTATGATTACTATTATAACCAATTCAACATATTAAAAATTAATATAATCTAACACATGTCTAATGTCTCCTACAGAAAGTATACCTCTTCGCAGCAATTCTGGACATGTTTGGATTGCACACTCAACTCTGGCACTTTCAAAATAAGTTTCTGCACTGTTAATTTCTTGTTCAATAGGTGTGTCATTACCCTATAGGGAAGAAGGACAAAAGTAAACAAAATCTAGAATCCAAATAAAATGTTAAGAATTTACCTTAATACACTTTAGAAAAATAATTCTCATTAAGGTACTGTTTTCTTATATGCTTACAAAGTTTTGATGAATATTAGGAGATAGCTCTAAAGAAATCTTAAACAAAACAGAACACAACATATCAACATCCTGAACAGAAATTTGCTAAGAAACTAGTTTAAATACTATAATTATGCCTTATAGTTGGTACCTCTTCTGCTATTTTGCCATATTATCCAATTATGTTTTATGCTGTAATCTATAAAATCGGAATAATAACATTAACTTCCAAAATAACAAATCAATAATGTAACTTTTATAGGAAAGGCTTATTAGGGAACTTTGACAAGAGTAAGCGCTATAAAATTTTAAAAAAATAAAAATTTGGTCTTCATTCTCAGTGTATCAAAAGTAGTAGAAAAATAATAAAAGAAATAAATGCAACTCAATACGAAAAATGCTAAAGTTAAGAAGGTTCTGGTCACATAGACAAGGAAGAAATTTGCTTTACAAGAAAATTAGGAAAAGGTTGAAAGGGTATTATCTGTGGTGTATATTAATGTGTGTTTAATAAGTAAAGGATAAAATAGAAGCAAAAAATTCAGAAGGGAAAATAGTCTAGCAAATGATATAATAGTGGAAAGGCTTATGCTGGCAATTACTATTCAATTTTTCATATAAAAAAGCTCAGGAAAGGTCCTAACATTTTGGCAGAGACCAACCCTTGAGCCCACATTATTCTCATTCCATAATTATCATGCCACACACAGTACCTATAAAAAAGGAGGTAAAATAAAAGACCACTTGATCCCACGGTTTCCCTTATTTGCAATAACTAGTATACATCTGAGACAAGTAGAAAAGGTCAGATAAGTTGATGTTAGGCTAAATGAACCCCAAGATAAGGACTCAAGTGGTCTCAAGTGTTTTTTCTTTCTTGCTATTGTTTGTATTTACAAGGTATTTTTTTGTTGCTTTGTATGTTACTCCCCCTCTCCCCCCAGTATGGTATAACACCTGTTTTCACTGTATTTGATGTTGGTATAATTTGGGGAGGGGAAGAGAAGAAACAAATTGTTTAAATAGGGATACAGGTGGACCCATTGCAACATGAGATGTACAAGTTGTTATGTCGAAAAACAAACTTTAAAACTTTGGGGGGGGGATGGGAAGGGGAAACAAAGCAGGAGGCAACAATGCTTGATAAGAAATGTACTTATTACCTTGCTCATGTAATTGTAACCCCTCTGTACAATATTTTCACAGTAAAAAAAGTATTCAAAAGACCACTTGAACTCTGGCAGATAATTAAAAGGATGCTAGTAATTTTGAAGCAATTCAGAAACAGGCAACATGATCTTAACTCTATTTGTGGGACGATAGTAATATATATAGTTCTATATAAGTATAAATTCTTTAATAATTAGTTGTTTGAAATATAAATTATTTCTGTGTTGCAGGATATTAAATTTGCTTTTAAAATAGAAATTATAATTTGTCTATGGGCTTAATTCCAGACAACTTTATATTCCCGTAGGCATTTAAAAACTTAAGAAAATTTTGAGGTCTCTAAAATTGTGTAGATGATAGCAAACTAAAAGAAAAGCCCAATAAATATTTTATTTAAAAAAAAACACACAATTTCGGAGGGCTTGGGAGAGTGTACTTTCCTGCCTGGGCTAGCTTCAAACTGGGATCCTTAGATAATGTAATAAAGACACACATTAACAATTTACCTGAAATTCATTCACATATTGTGCCATCACAAACTCATGTCTTTCGGTGGATAATGGCTCTGCTAGAACATCGGGCAAAGTTTTATGAACCTGGCTTTTCTTCTGTAATGCAGTCCCATTGAGGTGGCAATCAAAACCTATGTTTCCTGGAAGCTGGAATCTTTGATCCTGAGGTCCAAATGGTCCCATAGTTTCATCAGGCCATACTGTTCTAGAGCCTGAAGAGAAACAACTAAATGAATCATTTTCTTCTCAACAGTAAGTTGTGGCAGACTGAACAAATAAAGCTCTTACAATTTTTTTAACCTAACATGTGTATCTGTGAAATCTATTTTCTTATATGAGAATAAGCTTTATGTTGTTTCCAAAACTAGTTGCTTTAAATCAATCAGTTGTTGGCTCTAGGGAAGTCCAATACTAGGGGTATCAATAAAATAGTGGTTAATATATGAGGTATTTAATAATCATTAGAAAAATTACAGTAAAACCTATGTGCTGATACTGAGTCTAGGAAATGAGAAAAAGTGAAGCCAAAGAATAGTATGAATACCATAATCGTTTTACATTCTTTTTGTTTTTCCAAGTATGGGGATTTTGAATTCAGGTTCTTATGACTGCTTTGCTTGCTTGCCTGGCTGGCACTCTACATTTGAGCCATGTCTCAGCTCAGTTTTTTTGTGGTTAATTAGAGATGAGACTTACAGACGTTTTGCACAGGCTGACTTTAAACCACAACCCTCTGGATTTCAGCCTCCAAAGTAGCTAGGATTATGTGCATGAGCCACTCAGGCACACCACACAGTGCCTACATTTTTAAATTTGTTATCTTTTGTTTTCAGATTGGATCTTGCTTTGAAGTTCAGACTGGTTTGAAACTAGCCTTAAACTCAAAATCCTCCTGCCACACAGCCTTCCAAGTTCTGGGATTATAGGTGTATCCAACTTACATCCTTATATTCACATATTCCCATTTTAAAAAGAAAGATCTAAAAAGAAAGACACCAGACTTAAAAGTAGTTACCCAGTTCCCCTCAGGAAAGGGCATTCAGCTATTCAGCTCCTCAAAGGCTGGTGGATTTATTTGGGGTATCTTGTGTTTCCCCAATGTCTTTATCCAGTCTCTTGATGGGAGCCTCTGATTTCCATGTGGTACTCAGTTTACTTGTGGCATAGTTGGTTTCTTAAATGAATTTGTTTGAGCAGGCAGAAAGAAGCTCTGCCTCACAGGCATGGGAACTTTGTGATCCTCCTTCCCAGACTAGTTCAGTGGGAGGGTAATCTGCTTTGAGTCTCACACAGGAGGAAGGTGGCTATTTTCTATAGCTTGGAGTCCCTGAGAGGGAGATGGGGGGTAGGGGGAAGGGGTTGGCCTGTCTGGAATCATGGCTTTTCCCTGAGAGGCTAGTTCCTAAGATACTCTTATGGCCCAGACTGGAGCTGCTCTCAGGTTTTATGCAGTATCTAGTTTTGAATTTTTTTTTTAGCTCCTGAAGCCAGGATACTCACTAAACAATATACTGGAAATGATATGTATAACTTGGTGGGAGGGGAAGTTGGGGGGGAGGAAAAGAGGGAGAAAAATGAGGGAAGGGGTAACAAGCTAGATAAGAAATGTAATCAATACCTTATTTATGTAACGTAACCCCCCTACACCTCACCTTGACAATAAAATTTTTAAGAAAACGAATAAAAAACTCCTTCAGAGGTCTACCTGAAAGGAACTAATTGGAACTACAAAAACAAAATTAAAAAAAGCTAGGAGAAAAAAATTGGGTATTACATGCAATGATGCTGTTTACCAGCTACATTAATTAAATGGACAATAAATATAAAAGAAAAAAATCCATATTACTTATTTACAAAAAAATAAAATGATAACATCTTGTTATAAAAAATCTAAAGACTCAGAAAATAAGGTAGAAAATTAGTTTTATTATTCAGAGTGTAATCCTTGGAGTGGTTTAGAGAATGGAAGTGAAATTACTTGGGCATGAAATAATTACTTAATACCCTACCAGAATGGAATGACTAAAAATGGCAATAGCTGCCTCATTGGGAGCTCACTGAGCACCACCATAGTCCTCCTCAACATACAATGTAAATATTCTCTTCATAGTAATATGCACCATTTACCAATCATGCAACTCTTTGCTGGTCAACTCTGACAAGGTCTCAAACATGAACACACTACCTCAATGCCTTTCAAGATTCAGTAACAACTACAATGAAGATCAAGATTTTATATTTTGAGGAAGGTCTTAGATGATACTGATAAAGACCATGTTGGGTAACAAAGCTTTAGTCACAATGATTGGCTGGAATCTTATAAATCTGTTAGTTAGTATTTGAACAATATGTTTTAAAGGCAACTTGGAACTAATAGTTTCAGGTATTTATAGTGAATATGAGACATTTTTATATGCTTATCTTGGATTCAGTGGGATTTCTCTTTTGTGAAAGCCCTGTTCCTGTTTGTGTCTTGGTTTTCTAGCACTGTCTCTTTCTTACTGATGTATAACATTTATATATTCAAAATAATCACATATTCTTTGTGCCTCAGTACAGAGGCTTGAACTCAGAGCCAAGGTGCTGTCCTTTAGCGTTTTCACTCAAGGGTGGTACTCTTCTACTTCAGCTACACCTCTACTTCTGGCTTTTTGTTGGTTAATTATAGGTAAGAGTCTCATGGACTTTTCTGCCAGGGATGCACTAGAATCAAGATCTTCAGATCTCAGATTCTCAAGTAGCTAGGATTACAGATGTGAGTCACCAGATCCTTATATACATTCACTTGGCTCCGTACATATTCTGAGTGACAAATTTTTCATTTCTGTATATAGTTAAGTCTTCACGTGATGAAATTTGGTAGGAAGAAGGCTGGGCACTGTTGGCTCACACTTGTATTTCTAGCCATTTGACAGGCTGAGATCTGAGGATGATGGTTCAAATCCAGACTGAGCAGGAAATTCTGCAAGACTTACCTACAATTAACCCCCAGAAAACTGGAAGTAGCACTGTGGCTCAAAGTGGTAAAGTGGTAGCCTTAAGCAAAAGAGCTCAGGGAGAGTGCCTAGGCCTTGAGTTAAAGTCTTACAACTGACCAAAAAGAAAAAAACAAAAGGGGGAGAAAAATAAAAAATACTGTTATAAAAAATTGAGAAAATTATTTTGAAATAAGTAAAGCAATGATATCTTTTACTTACATATATCAGGAGGTGAAGTGGCCACATGAGATTCATCAGAACCTGAGGATCCTGCAGTTGAAAAGGCTTTTGGATTAACAACTCTTCTAACTAGAGAGCAAAAGCCTGGGAGATAGGAAACCAGTCTGGCTCTGTTACAGAGCACCTGAGAATGACAGAAAGATTAAGATTATGTATTTTGGGAAATGTTATGGTTTCTGACAAATCTTTAAACTGTGGCATACCTTTTAAGATAGACATTTGTTCAACCTACACTGAACATTTACAAGCATTATGAATAATAAAAAAATGTAAATGTCTTCAGAATCAAAACAGTCACTTATGTTGAGACATGACAATGGAGACAATGAGAAAGGGAAGTCTTCAAGTATATTTGCCTAAGAGGAGTTGCTATAAAAGACTCTGCCAAACCCCCAAGCTGGCAATAAGGTCACTGAAATCCTGCAAAAATACTTTTATGAGAATGGCTAACCAGCAATTGTTTGTTCAGCCCTAGAACAATAGTACTCTTGTTATTGATCCTTGTGGCTAGGATAACTGGATCAAAATAACTTGTGTAACCTTCCTCATCTTGCCTTTAAAAACCCTTGCCCTTCCTTTGCCTTTCCAGGTATGCCTAAAGTACTCTCCTTTGCTCCCAAAATGTGCCATCCTTTGTACAACACTTTCTTATTCTGAATAAATTCTTGTTTGGAAGACTCTACCATTCATTTGATGTTGACAATTCAAATACTAAACCAAACTAGTAGCAGCTTAATCTGGGTAAGAGTTTATATCTTTTCCAATAAAGTCCAGGATTCCAAAACACCACACAGGAAGAAGAATCTGTAAATAGAGCACAGCTATAAGACTTTGTATCCTTAAAACACACTACTTACATAGCTTGTTGCTTGAAAATCTGCTTATTTTCAAATCCATTTTTTCTTTTAAAATTAAATGTGCTTATAATCTCCCATATTATTTTTATACTATTATTATTTAGAATGCTCACATTCCTTCATCCTAACACATTATTTTGTAGTGTGTCTTCACAACATAGATGGTGTCATCCCATCTATGAAAATTCACTCAACGATTATAACTTGAGAGTTACAATATATTATAAATATATTCCCCAAACTGAAAAGTTTGCCTAGTCTCTAAAGCACAGGCACTTTTTACTTAGTATGTATGTTAACTAAATTGTTGAGACCCATGTATCTGCTTATCCTGATATTACATGCACTGCAAATTCTGGGGAAAAAAATTAACAGAAGAAATGAGCTAATTTATTCACTTGAATCAAAACAATGCCAGTCCACAAATCAGTACTCTATTTCAACTGAGTTACCTCTTTTGACAATACTACATGCTTCTTTTACAACACTGTCTTTCTGTGTAGAATACAGCTAGGTAAAAATTCACCTCACAATTTGGCCCGTACTAGTCGTCTATTCTTATGACTTGTCTGCATCTTCAAATATTCATACTCTTACCAATTACAGTAATAGCATTTTGTAACTCGTTGCCACATCAGTCTTCCTACATGAAATTCCAATTGAATCTATATCATGTTAAAAGCAAACAAACAACCCCCCCCAAAAAAAAACCCAAAAAACCCAAAGTCTAAATTGCTGAGCTTGGTATTCAAGGCATTCCATTCTTGGCTCACCCTTCACAACCCAACCTCAGGAATTTTTTCCCCATCTTACTAGGGTCATTTTTAAAAGGGACTGGGAGGGGACTTCTTCAAATCCGCTTTCCTGTCCTCCCCACCCACCCGCGATTATCTAAAATCCCCACTCATCTTTCAAAACTCAGGTAGAGTAATCAGTAACTCTTTTTTCCTTATGACTCCAAACCTTCATGGTCCCTTCGGCCCTTCCACACACGGATCACAACCTGCACGGAAGCTTTTGGGAACGTGCACAGCAACAACCACCAAGGAAGTGACACCGTGCAGGTCTTTCCCACAGGTGTCGGTATCTCCCTTTCCCGTACGAGCTCCGTGGCGCAGGACGTGTCACCACGCGGGTGTACACTCGGGGTACACTCGGGGGTGCGCGTCAGCGGGGACTGTCGGGTTCCGAGGGGCACTTTCGACACCGAAACTACCAAGTCTTTCACCAAAAGAGACTGGGGGGTGCGGGGGGGGGGGGAAACGCTGGAAACTGCCTGCAAACACTCACGTTCAAGAGCAAGCTCTGCACAGACACACGGGTTTGAACGGGACGTGTGCACAGCGCAGCCCCGTCGGGGCGCCCCCCGGCCCCGGCCCCAACGGCCCACCCCCGGCCCGCCCCGGGACCGCCGTACTCACATGGGCCATTTCCGGCGGCGAAGACCGAGCCGAAACCACCCCTGCGGCAAAGGCTTCCTGCGAAAGGACGAAACACCACCGGCGGTGAGGGACTCGGGCTCGGCCGACGGCGGGGACGCGTCCCGGGTCCGCGTCCGTCGTCCCCGCCCACTCCCCCGCCCTTCCACCCTCCTCCCCCGCCGCCCGCCACAGCCGGGTCCTCGCGACCCCGGGGTCAAAGCGGATGTTTCCACAGCTTCCGGAAGACAGCGTGGGAGGCCTCGCGACGGGAGCTTCGTAGGGATCCAGGCCTTACCGTGAGCTGCGACCCGACGACAGCCCAATTCCGAGAGGCTTCCGCAGGCGGAAACCATCCGTACCGATCACCACCGCCGCGGCCTCCGGCTGCCCCGCGACTTCACTCTTCCCGCCGCCAAAATGGCGGCTCCGAAAGCCAGCGGGCGGCGCCAGGGTTGGACGCTGCCAGGCAGAACCAGCTGCTCCTGAGCGCGTCGATGCGCAGGATCGCGGAACCGGCGCTGCGCACGCGTCTCACGTACGCACTCCGGTGGGAGCCGCCGCACCAGGCCGGTGCCCACGTCCTGGCGGGCCGAAGGTGGTGTGGGGCCCCTCGTAAGCCTTTCCGATTGCCTCTCGGACAGCGTCTCCTGCCCCTTGTGCGATTGCTGTTCTTTGCTCAGGAGTCTCTGGTTTCCGGCACAAGGCACTTAACTCCCTAGACAGTGCCGAACTCAGTAGGCTCCGAAAACACAACCGGATGACCTGTTTGTAAATACCGTATTATTTAAAGTTAATGCCTTTTAAAAAATAGACACTGAAGTTACTTATACTAAATCAGATTTCCTTAGTTTTTGTCTTTCATGTCCTTTTCGGCTTCCAGGGTTTGCATCATGAGTCCACATCATAGGTAGTCACCCTATATCACCTCCAGCTCCTCTAGACTGTGACAATTATTCAGGCCTACTTGGCTTTTCATAATTTGGATCTTTTAAAGACGTACTCTTCAGGCATTTTGTTGAATTTCCCTCCATCAGTTTTCATAATGCATCACCAGGCCATTTTTTTGGGGGGGGGGGAGTATTTGACCTCAAGGGCAAGTACTGTGAACTTACCACTGTTGATCTTGACTCAGTGTTGGCCAGGTTTCTACACCATGAGTTCTTCTTTCCCTACATGGCGTCACTATGTGCAGCCCAAGCTGAAAGAGTAAAAAGTTACACTCTCAAGTTTTTAAAGGGCAAGCATCTTCATAAGTTGGGATTCTGCATGAGAAATTTGTTCACCTCAATTTGTTTTCAGTTCTGTTTGTATGTGGCTGTGGGTGTTAGGTTTACATTTCCATTCTTTATCTTTTTAATTAAGTTTTTTCATTGTGAAAATACTGTACAAAGGGGTTACAATCACATGAGCAAGGTAATGAGTACATTTCTTATCCAGCATTGTTGCTTCCTCATTTGTTTTCCCCCTAATCCAATACTGTATTTTGTTTTTCAAATTGTTTCGGTCATTGAGAATTTTTAATTGGAATTCTGTCTTTTTGACACATGTTCACAGTTTTTTTTCTTTTGTATCTCTTATTTTACTTAAGTGTTTCTTTAATATCTGACACTACAAGATACTTCAAGATGACGTTTATTCCCTGCCCTAGGTCCAGGTTCAGAATTAGCCACTTTCCCAAAGAGCCATTAGTTTTTAAAAACATGTGTGTATTCATCTACATATATGTACATACTTGTATATATAATCTTTTAAGTTTGTACAAGTTGTATAAACTCATTAAGTATGGGCTCTTCTCTATAACTAGAGTAAGAAACATGGCTTCTTTCATCATCCATCCAGTTACTCAACTCTTCAGTTCACTTTACACATATAGTGAGTTTGGAACTGGTAACCCATGTTAACTATATATGTATAGTGGGTACCAGTTATGTCTGTGGGAAACAATTATAGCAGCTAGAGTACAATGCTTACACAAACTTCGAGCTTAATCAGGTCAATGATCTCACCCCCTTCAATGAGATTATTTTATACTTTTTATTGTAGAGTTGAGAGGGTTGCTGTTGTTTTACTGCAGCCTATGTTTTACCCTGATACACTTTGAGCTACTAACAACAAAAATCTTCACACTGTCATGTGTATCTCATTAGAGTGTCATTTGGAACACTTTGCTACTCCAGTTAAAATCCCTTTTGTTTCATCTGTCAGGCTCTGTCACCTCCCCAAACCCCTGACAATCACTGATCTATTGGCTGTGTTTTCGATAGTCTATAATGTCATAAAATGGAATTAATATGTAGCAATGCTAGACTGACTTTTTTCATTTACCATCCTTGTTTTTATATGGTTTTGAAAAGCTTATTCTTGTCTTTCTTATTCCTGAATAGTATTCTAATGTATGGATATTTCATTGTTTATTTTTACCTATTAAAGAAGTTTTGGTTTCTTATACTTTTTGGTGACTGAGAATAAAGCTGCTTTAATTTGTATGAAAGTTTTCTGTGGCCATTCCAAATTAGTTGGATAATACCTTGGAGCATAATTACTGGCAATTGGGTTTTTATAAAATGTAGAAGTAGCTCTTTTAGATATTTTGAGCATTTTCCCTGACAAACATATAAACTGTTAATGAATCCTCTTTTGTGTTGGTAACATGGAGTACACATCATTTTACCTTTGAGCAATTAGTACCATTAGTAATGTCCAAATGGGGACTTTGCAAGTCATATACTATTTGAAATCTCTTCCAGCATGAATACTGAATCCTGAATATACAAGAATATCTTTGAATGTTTTAGCTAAAAATATGCAGGAAATGAGATTCTTTGACTCTTAGGAAGTATCATCTAGCATTTAAAAAATTCTCGTTCTCAGGAACTTGCCTGTCCCAAACACCTTTTCTTTATATTTAGTTTTTCTTTTCTTCTCTATGGCAAGAATCATTTGGTTACTATTAAGATACAAAAACAAAAATTTCTTATTTCAAATTGACTTTTTTTTTTTTTTTTGGTCAGTCATGGGTCTTGAACTCTGGGCCTGGGTGCTGTCCCTGAGCTCTTTAGCTCAAGGTAAATGGTATATCACGAGCCACAGTGCCACTTCTGGTTTTCTGGTGGTTAATTGGAGCTAAGAGTCTCATGGACTTTCCTGCCCGGGCTGGCTTTGAACTGCAATCCTCAGATCTCAGCCTCCTGAGTAGCTAGGATTACAGGCATGAGCCACTGGTGCCTGGCTCAAATTGTCATTCTTAAACTGCTTTTTGGTGCTGAAAATGTATGCCTCTAAAGTTGCATACATTTTTATTTATGCCATTATATCTGACTTATATCATCATACTTAAGCTGAGATTTGAAATCAAAGAAGTACTGCATTAGATAAAATGAAGACAGCCAAGGAAGAGGAAAGAAACTTTTCTTCTGAGACTTACGGTCCCTAGTGGAAGTCTTGAGTTCAAATAAGATTAAAGTATGTGGAAATGCTCTGAAAAAGTTGGTGGTTTTAGGCTTTTACATTGCAAACATTAGTAACGTGAAAGGAACTTTTAGATTTTAGAAGTGAAGTCTAGATTCAAGTTAAGTAACTGGATGAAAGATGAAGGGAGCCATGGAGCTAAGAACCCATACTTAGTGGGTTTGTACAACTTGAACAAACTTAAAAGATTATGTATACAAAAGATTATTTGATAATTAAAAGATTTTTTTTCAATTTGTCTAATAAAAGACACCAGTTTGAAGACCTAAGTCACCTTTACTTACACTTTTTTAAAAAGTTAGTATGCCAAAATACCATAGTTGTATAGATATTAGGCTCATTTCACATAGATTGGCTTTAATTCTTAAACTGGTATTTCTAGGTGGATCATGTTGGACAAATCTCTTAGTCTTTTTATGCTTTAGTACTGTACTTTTCTCACTTCTACAGTGAACATAATAGTATCTACCAGAGTACTTGTGAAGATTAAATAAGTTAATACAAAGCCAACCTTATGTCTAAATTGTCTCTCACATATACGCACACAAACGTGTGCGCACACACATGCACACACAGTGTGGGGTGGTTCACAGAAAACTTCAGAGAAGAAACTACAAAAACTGAGTTTTGAAATAATTCACAACTCTCTATTTTCTTGTAGCCCCAAATTCCTAGTTGAGTCATAAGTATAAGCTTTTTCAGAATGTGAACCATGTGTTGTTATTTTTGCTTTTGATAGAAAAATCATCTGTCAGAGCCAAGTAAGAGAAAGAACTCAGTGATAACAATATGGCAGGTGGTTGGCCATGAGAACTAATGTATTGGAGGTGATGCTTGAATAGTGTTTTGAAATATGAGGTGTTTGCCAAATGCTAAGAGGAGATGTAGCGGGTTGGGGAAGTTTTAGACAATGAAAACAGCATAAATAGAGCTATAGAATCTAAAACTGTGGGTGTTTGGGAGAGTCAGAACTACATTGAGGATTGAGATGAAGATTGTAGAGTAGACTGCAAAGTAATACAGAAGTAATGAGAAGCAAATGAGTAGATTTAAGCAGTCATGGCATTATATTTGTGTCTTTGAAATTATCTTCTGGATACAGTATAGAGAATAGATTAGAAAGTAGGAGGATACAGTTGGGTCAAATGGGTTGGCAAACTTGTAACTAGAGTAAGAAGAAAAGAGGTTGAAGTTAAGGATGAAGAAAGTGAGCAGTGGATATAGCATTGCCATATGCTGATTAGATGAGAAAAAGTGGACAGGTTGAAGACGATTCCTACATTTTTTGGATCAAGGTACTTTCTAAATAGTTACTATCACTTAGATTGAGAATTCTCAATATTAATATTTTTGGATACATTCTATATGGAAGGCATTTAGGTAAGCATTTTCCCATGACCTCTTTAATTCCTCATAATAATGCAGAAAATGTAGACATTAATATCATGTTATAAGTGGAGAATGTAAAACATAAAAAGGTTAAGTATACTATTGAGCTTCAGGGCTATATTTAAACCTAGGTCTACTTGGTTTAAAAATGGTGCTTTGCCACCCCTTCCCTAGGACAACTGCTTAATTAAGAGAATAAGTTTATAAAGAAAGACAATGAGTTTGATGTGGATACATTAAATGCTTTATGGAAATTCATGTGGAATTTTCCAATTGTTGAAAGCAGACCTATTGCTCAGGAAAGTCATTAACACATGGATAAACAGGAAAGCCACAGGAACCTCTTGAGGGGCTTTAAGGAGTAGGTAAAAGGTTTGTGAAATGAAGATCCTGAAATGGCCGTGAATGTGTGTGTCTCTAAGTAGATGCATTTTCTTCTTTGGCGGAAGGTGCCTAGTTTCTTCAGATCCTCCAATGAGTCTAGTTCCATGAAAAGATCAAGGGCCATTAGTGGAGAGTATCAAAGAAAAGGGCGAAAGTT